CCCCCCCCCCCCCCCCCGTTTTTAAATGACACCGGTACTTAAATTGTAACGGCCATTTTTAAAAACATAGATTAGTTAGGGACCGTCCATAAATTGCTTCAACAAAAAGGGGGAAAAGGTTAAGGGGTGGAGGGGTAGGGGCTTGGTAAAGTATGAAATTGTTGACCAGGGGCTGTGAGGAGTCAAAATATTATTGATGTCGACTTAAAAAAAAAAAATTCATTTATAAATTTTAAAAAAAAGATAGGTTGTGTTAATTTTATTTTCTATACAAAATATAATTCAAAATGGTTAGACATATGAGTAAGAAATTACAATCTGCTCCTCAGATGACTTAGGCCTACTCAAAAGATGACTGCCATAAGACAGAGAGAGGGGAAAGCACTTATTGAACATGGAGAAGCAGCTGATATTTTAATTTTAAGCACTCAGTGTTTCGACTATGCACCAATGATGTCAGCCCATGCCAAAAATAATATTAGTCTAATAAAGGCAATTATAAAATTGTCAGTTTCTACGCCCTATTGCAAAAGAGGAGACTTTGGCTTGTCAGTATGACCATAAAAAAAAAATACACTAGCAGTAACAATAATATTTAGACCTTTCAAATCTTTAATAAATTCATCCATATAAAATTGACTCTAGTCATAAATTCTAACGGTTATTACATTTAAATGCGTTAAAAAAGTTTTTGAAGAATGTTATAAATGTGTTATTCTTGGCCAGAAACATAAAAAATATCTATATTTATTTATTTTTAGGGGGGGGGGGGCAACCACACAAAACCAAAAGACGGGGGGGGGGGGGGGGGGGCCTTAAAAGTTTGACAGTAGTAGGCAAGGGGGTGGGAAGGGGGCAGTTAAAAAATTGTCATAATTAATGGAAGGCCCCTAACCGTATTTATTGAATTGTTATCCAATTATATTTTGTGCTACTCTTAAAATTCCACCCACATACATCTCTATCACTATCATAAATTGAATAAAAAACATATATTTCCAATTTTTATATTTTTAGTACAATTATCTCCATCTCTAATGTATAACACAACTTTATTAAAATTTGAACATTGTCTTAAACTGTACACTCGTTTCCTGGTACCGGTAATCAAGTGAAGTGAGAAGCCAATAGAACAAAAACCTTTAAATTACAAATATTATTTCAATATCTTGATCATTTTGGTCAATATTAAAAAGAGATGTGTTATTTCTAAGGCAGGATACATTTTTTTTTTGCTTCAATACTTTCATTTTATGCAAACCTCATATCTTACAATTAATGGATGAAAGTGAAATATGTAATTATGATGCTGCAATACAGATGACAAATGCATTCTAATTGATTTGAGTTTTTATTAACAACCACTTCTTCTCTTTAAATAGTTATTAGGAAGTCCTCGCGGCATAATTTTTTTTCAAATGGGCTAGTGTTGCCACATCAGTATCTCTTTGTATTAAAAAAAATAATAAAAATGTTGAGCTCTTACATAAGAAAAAGAATAGGTCACCTGTGGTTGGAGAGACACAAGCAATAACACCCCTCCCCCTAAAAAAACAACAACAACTGAGAACTGATTAGCTCACGGTGATTTTCTTTAGGCCACACAATGATGCACAAATTATAAAAAAAATTCATGCAATCATTGATAACTTTTAAAATGTATTTCAAAACTCTGATTGATCGTGATGCTAAGAGTTTTGATTCTGATGCAGTCCGACTAGATTTTGATGATTTCTATTTTGTTGCACTAGCCACATAGAAATATCCCAATTAACCAGAATCTACAGTACCTTAACCCCATTCTTCACGTTCAGATTATTAAATACGGGTTCATGTAATCATTTCACAATCACAGTGTTTTTCACGTACTGGACTTCAGATCCTGTATTTTTTATAAATTATATATATATATATATACAAACATGTGTCTTTCTGAAATATATTAACATAAATTATGCCATTCATTCCATTGGTTACTTTTGTTGTTTACTCAAAGATAAGCAACCAATGGGCCATGTTCTGTTATCCTACTGGGGTACATATTCCGTTCTCAAACATGGATCACTTTTTACGATTCAACTTGTTTGTGGTTGAATCTTTTTTAATTATGCTTTCACTCATATTTGACCCACAATTTAGCTAGAGAACCAGCCTTTCAATTTTTCTATTATTTTACTGTGATTTACTGAGTTTAAGTGTCAATATTCAGATTCGCTTCAGAGCTTTATAAAGTGCGTCAGTAGATTCTCTTCATGAAACCTGTAGATTCACTTTATGACATCAGTTTAGTCAAATCATAAAATCAGTTTGTCACTTTATGATACAGGTAGAAAAATGCTTACATAATTAGTTGGCAAGATTTTAGAGTTTCAGATTTTTTTATGCTGACAGTAATATTTACAGGTCTTATCTCCCATCCTCATTTAGGATGTGCTATTTAGTTCTCCTATGTGACGTTGCCCATTATAGGGATGCACACGTGTCTTTTTCCTTATAATTCTTTTTTCCACATCGTTTTCACCACCTTCCACATCACTCTGACTGTTACTTTCAATTAGGTCAACTTCATTAGAGTTATTAAAATCTAAAGTTACTTTTTGGATTTCAGTGCCGTCTCTCCTCCGCAGTTCACTCATGTGCATACGTATGATGTCGTCTCCATGTATCTGGTTTTCTGTTTTGAGAATTTTTATGGGTGACACTGCTGTGGGTGTGCTGGGGTTGACTGACGATGTCGAAGAAGAAGATGACAGCCGCCTCGTACGTTCACTCGACGTACTGCTGCTGCGCCTGGAGTTGCCGCCCCGGAACCTTTTCTCGCCACCGTTGATCAGATAATAATCCGGCTCGCCGTTTTTTCTACGACTTGAACGCCGCGTCTCCACTTCAATGACCTGGCCAGTCTTTGTGGTGATCATTGTAGTGGTAGTGGTGCTGCCTTTGGGGAGAGAACGTTCCACGGACACAGATGTTGTGTCAACCACAGGGCTGCTGCCCTTGTCACTGATGCTGGATTTCAAGTGAGACAAGCCCACAGCCCCCACATGCTTACGATGGGCATCGTTGGAGCTTATTGTGGCGCTGGTGTATCCGCTGATATTAACTGATTTCTTGCCATGTGGATCATATTTTGACTTCTCTGTGGGCGTTGTTATTGCTTTGACCCCACTTGGGCGGTCGGGTGTTTTACAATCGATGAGCAGTGTTGATGGATTGGATGGTAGGATCATGCTTGTCTCAGCAGCGGATGAGCTCATGGATGAATAAACAGCAAATGCTGAATTTCCTCCGCTCTCTGACGAAGCTGGAATGGATGAATCACCATTCTCATCATCTTTATCTTTTGACTTCATGCCCATCAGTTCCTGTGCAAAGTCTGCCATTCCATATTGAGTGGCTATCCGTAAGCCCTCATCAAACAGAGAATCCCTATGGTTATGAAGGGCTGCCATGTATAAAGTATTGAGGGGATTGCTTTGTGCCGTCTCGTCACCATAACCATAAGGAGAGCTGCTCTTGCTGTGTCGTTTTCCTGAACCATGTCCAAGTGGAGATGAGTGTTTCGATAGCTCAAGGGGTATACTGGCTGAAAATAGAATAAAATATGACTTTTCAAAATATGATAACTTAATTTAACTTTATATAACTAATCACAACATTTTAAAACAAAAATACACTACATTCGTTTTAAGTATTTTTAACAAATAAAACATAATCAATTATAGATCTTTCTGATTTTTAAATAGATCTTTTTGTCATTTTTAAATAGATCTTCATGTGATTTTTTTAAGCAATAAATTAATTGTATTTGTTGGAGGAAAAACCTTTGCAGCCACAGAAATGATACATTTAGATTATTACCACATTAATCAAGAAAGCCAAAAGGAATAGTTGTCTTGATTGGCATGATTTGTTTAACAACAACTTTTTTTTGTTGCTGTAAACTTTAACATCTATACCAATATTTTTACCACTATTCAATGCCCTTTGGATCAACTCTATTGCTCTTATTGGGCTGCTCACAACATAAACAATTATTTTATTGATCTTGATTAACAAATTTGTAAAAAATGGAAAAAGAGATTTCTATTGCTTGAATGCATGTCAGATGTGCTTGCACACATTATACCCAATATTATATTATCTTTATAAATGCGCTACAGCTATTTGTTTTTCTCCTGCCTATCTTTGATTTGGCTGTCAAATTTTTCAGGTCAAGTAACTATTCTCACAGTCCTGGTTATAAACCTGATTAGCTATTGCAAAACATATAATTGAACAGGTATCTACTTAAAAGTGACCAAAAAATATTTAATTATTAACATCGATTTATCTTAATCATGATTTACATGTTAAGTTTCTCACCTTTAGGCGATAACTGCTTAGGGGTACCTTTCCTAAATCTGAAAAGATGGAAAGCGAAAATGTAAAAACGTTCACTTTGTAGTAGTCACCCATAAAATATGTTGCAGAATTTAATTGTATATTTTCTATAGTTTTAAGAGGTTAATAAAAGTAATGTATTTAAATTTCCCCTTCAGTACCGTACTGAAAACTCAATAGATATGACAAGTATGTATTGGGTTATATGCACACTGATGACTTTGTTGCTGACATTTGGGCACATGCCTTTCGGTAACTTGACACAAGCTGCATTCTGTGACATGTTCCAAGACACTGAATACAAAAACTGGGACAAAATTTGATATTTGCAGGATCCCTGAACACATTTGTTTCTTTATTTAAAAACTTCTAGTTCCTTTTTATGGGTTTAACAGGGCAATTTGAAACAGGAAATGCTTTAGGGACCCTTCATGGGCTGAATAGGACTATATCGTAATAAAACAGAACAACTTTGATGAATCCTCTTAGTTTAGTTATTGTTCCACTGTAGGAAATCTGTCTACATGTGTAATTGCTTGTCAATAGCTTGTATTATGTGATATCAAATTAGGTGCTGTTTTACTGAGTAATGACTCAAATACTTTTGCTGAAATTATAAATATTTTTTCAAAGGCTTTTAAATCCCCCAGGTTTAATTCATTCATCACCAACAATTTCATGTCCAAAAATTACACACCCACCAAAATTGTTTCCTCTTTCTGCTCTTTTCATTGACCATTTAAAAATGTAACAATGGCACATAGATGCAAAAATTCTCCTGCCAGTGTGAACACTTACATGGGATATCTGTGTCTGACACATGTGTCTGGAGCAATGTGTATCCAGATACAAGAATGTTGGGAGATTCGTATCTAGAAACAGAATTTGTCCCTGAGATATGTGCATGCACCAAACCTCAGTTTGAATGAAGGTTTACAATGACCAATACAATACGGTAAATACAATGCATACTTGGAAATGGTGTTGACTATTCTCTGTTTTTTCTTGGTCAAAACAGTCTGACGGTCATTCAGCTCATCCATTTCTGAGGTCAAGGTCTTCATCTGGTCATGGTCATTGGCTTCTAGAAGTACTCTTAAGGCACTGCGTATACGATCTTGCTCTTTTGCCATTTCAGAAAGCTCAAGGGTAATTTGAGTGAGCTCTCTCTGTAAAAATATTTTTAAATGTATATACAATTAAACACTAAAAATGAAGTTGCTGTGTTAAATTTTATAATGAATACCATTATGTGGAAAAGGGTAAAAATTTACAATGAACATGTGGTAAAAAAAGCGACGCAATAAACGCTAAGAATTGTAAATGTCTTGAATCTGTTGCTAACAAATTAACATAAAAAATGGATTTAGGAAAACCAAATAGATATTTCTTTTAAATCCTATCTTTTTATTGAAACGCAATCATGAGTGCATCACTGCCCTTTCTACATTGTTTAAAATGTATCTTATTCAAGTAAGTCATTTAAGGATGTGTCAAATTTTGATAGATTTAAATGTCTTACAAGACAAAGCTGTATTTCAAATTTTAGCGCCACAAGATTCAAAGAAATTTGACAAAAAATTTATGGAAGAAGTTGAAAGAAACCAATTAAAAATTGACTAATCATAAGTGTGGTGAAGATGATTTCAAGTAGATTAATTAGACACAAACAATTTATGTAAATAAAACCATATACATTCAGCTTTAATAATGAGCATACAGAATACAAATATAAACATTTCGGCAAATGTCATCATCAGAACAAAAAACATTTATGATCATTACTAAAACTGAACGTATATTGTTTTATTTTCACACATGTTTGTGTCTAATTAATCTACAGTAAAATAAAAAATTTCCCCAAAAAAATACACACAACACATCATGTGCGATTAGGGGTGGCAAAATATTTCATTTAAAATCAAACAGCTTCAAAAAAATGAGCATATTAGGAGCAAAAAAAATTTAATGAAAGAAAGACTTAACATAATTTTTTAGTGTTAAATACAAGTTCTTTTATATTAAATGCATTAATTCTTTTAGCTTGAATAACAGGGGGAGAGAGAGATGGTAGGCATTTTTCAATTTGCACCTAGGGCGTCAAAACATGGTTAAACACTTAAAAGCGGGACTGGATGTGATTTTATACAAAGTGATTCTGGTTCTGGTAGTGTTCGTTGCTGCATCCATTTACTGGCATCTGTGCAACAGATGGGGGTATGATGTTGCTATTCTAACAGCTCCTAGAAGATGCAAGGGCAGCCTTGAAGCTTTCGACCGATGTCGAGTTCACAGTGGCATTGTCTAGGTGGTTCCATGATATTATTGTGGGTGGGAAGAAAGATTGTTTATACTGCAGGGTGTTGCACTGAGGCACTTTGAAGCATTTGCTATTGTTTTGGGTGCAATAGTTTATGGGATTGTCAGTGGTGAAGTCAGTGTTCAGTGAGCGTTTTGCTTAGATCAGTCTACCCGGCTTCTGTGGGGTGAGGTACATGCCTGCTGCGATGGCCGGCACCAGTCCCATGACCACTTTGTATAAGATATCAGGCGGAGTCCCTCTCGTCTGTCTTTAAAGGAGGGGGGGGGGGATGTCAAATCTTTTTAAGAGGCCAATGACGAAGCCAGAAGTGGTGGATTTGTTGTCTCTAGCGATAAAACGCACCGCGTTTAGGTACATGCCTGCTGCGATGGCCGGCACCAGTCCCATGACCACTTTGTATAAGATATCAGGCGGAGTCCCTCTCGTCTGTCTTTAAAGGAGGGGGGGTGGATGTCAAATCTTTTTAAGAGGCCAATGACGAAGCCAGAAGTGGTGGATTTGTTGTCTCTAGCGATAAAACGCACCGCGTTTCGTTGAATTCGCTTCATCTTGTCCACGTCTTGCTTAAGGTGTGGGTCACAGATGATCGCACCATATTCTAGTAGTGGACGGAAGAGTGAGAGATAGGCATTTCGTTTGCAGGAAGTTGGGCAGTGGCGCCAATTTCTTCGAATGAAACCTAGGGTGGAGTTGGCTTTTTTTTAAATTTTGTTTATAGGGGTGACCATTTTAGGTTATTTGAGAAGAGAATTCCAATACTAATATTTAGCAAAGTGGCAGGTAATAACATTAACTCCAAGCTTGAGATCTGAGATTGAGCCCACAGTCGGTCCTCTTCATTATGGTCACTGAGATTGAGCCTAGAGTCTGTCCTCCTGTATAGGTCACTGAGGTTGAGCCCAGCGTCTGTCCTCTTAATAATGGTCATATATAAGATAAGTACAAAATATCTGTCATTGCTTCTTACATTTACTGTCAACTAAGCTCTGTTCATTCAAATGATAGTGCCAGTGTAATTCCTTATAATTTAATAACTTTTACACTAATGGGAGTTTTTTTCTAGAGGCTTCCAATTTTTTTGTTTTAGAAAAATGTTAATCTGCTTTATGTTTAGTTTTTCCAAACTTTCAGCAGTGTTGACCGACAGCTTGAAAAAAAAATAGTGGTGTGGATTTCAACATCAGCTACTTGCAAAACGAATGTTTAATGTAATAAGGATGTGCTACCTGGAGATCGTTGAAACTCTCATCTTGATTAACAGCAGCTGTGGAATGGGCTAGCAGAGATGAAGTGGACGCTATGGACTCCCCCTGCTCTATTTTGGGCTGCACTAAAACTTCAGCAGCTCTGCAGAAATTAAATGAGTCATGATAATAATCTCAAATCATTGAATGGAAGTTTAATGGCAATGGTTTATGGGGAACATATTGCATTAAAAAAAAATATATATCCTTAAACTGAATTGATTATGTTCCAAGGTGACACCATGCTAGTTAAATGCAACACCATTTAGGGAAAACGGGATGGAAGAATGGGACGTAATGTTTGACATAAACTAGAGAAACATTCAGAAATGCAGTGGACACAAAATCTAAATGCTTGCAGATGCCTTCAGAGTTGCTGTTAATGAAAACAATTCAGTTTTTAATTTTTTTTTTAATTTAATTTTTCTAATTATGCAGTCTTATATAGATAATTTATTTGATCAAAATAACACATTTTCCAGGAAACAAATATTGGATATATATATTGCAACAACTTATTTGCTACTTGATGATGAAATTCATTTTACTATATCTGGATTATATAATAAAAACACCTGTTTTTATAAATATCTTTTTAGTTTTTAGTAATTTTAGTCAGTCAATTAAGACAAATAAGCAGGATTTAATGTTTAAAAAGACACAAGTAACATAAAAACTCTAAAGGTACATTTAAAAACAAATTTTCTCTGCTGGATAGTTAGTTCCATTAAAAAAAAAAACATTCAATTATTTTTTTTCTTACCATTATTTAAATCATTTTTTTTTTCAATATACGTATTTTTTATTTTATTACATCAATTAATGGTTGCACTGGTTTTTCTACATTATTTTCATATTTAGGCGATTTTTTCTTGTTTTTTTTTTTTTTTTTGTTTATTTTTTTTGCTTGTTTTTTTTTTTTTTTTTTTTCTTTTTTTTAATTTATTTTTTTTTTTTTTTTTATTTTATTTTTTTTTTTTTTTTTTACTTTATTTTATTTTTTTTTTGTTTTTTTTTTATTTTTTTTTTTTTTAGGCGATTTTTTCTTTTTTTTTTTTTTTTTGTAGTTTATTTTATCAGCTGGTTACTTATGATTTTCTTCTCCATTTTTTAAATTAGTTTTTATAATCAGTAGCTACAAAATTTGAATGGGTATTAATTCTTTTTTAATTCTACTACATCAGTTGGTTTATTTGTTCATTATTTTGAATTTTAAAAAAATACAAATCCTTTAGTAAGTGTAAATGAGATTTAACTTTAGGCCTACTCCAATTATTTTTGGTGGCATCCACACAACCCACCCCAAACTGGCCATAGTAGTTGAGCAAGAGATTAATTTTTTTTTAATCCTATCTTTTTCTTCTATATTTTGAGGGCCCATCACTGTATTGATCATTCTGACTCCTAATGATTTGATTTTTCTTTACAGGACAACTTTTTTAAAAAGTGTACTATTTATTTATTTTATAAGTTAGCCTGCTAAAAAAATAGTTTAACATATTATTTTACCTTGAATTGAGACCCTTATACCTGATTCCACTCATGTCTGAGACAATAAAGCAGAGAACAATACTCCTCTATTAAAGACATGTCTAATATTCCCAACACTAATGAAACTAAATACTTCAAGATGGCGACTAATTGCACATAATATATTAATTAAGTGGTTATACTTGATTTATTTTATTAGTCAAATGACAACAGTTAAAGTCTTAATGAAAAGATGTTTACCCTTTAAGATCGTACCTCGAATGACCTTTCGAGTATTGGTACCCACTGTCTCTCACCACCTGCCGGGCCAAGGGAAACAACTCCTCTCTCCTTGTCAACAATGCAGGAAAGTGACTACACAGCTGAGCAGCAGCTTCGTTTACAGAGATCTGTTAAAGATTTGTGTTCAAAATTGAAGGTCTTTAAAGTATTAAAATAGAATGATAAAACATTTCATTACATTGTTATTATTCACAGTTACGTTACACTGATTATTTTAAAAAATGGAAGGATCTTGAAATAAATGATTATGTTGCGTTGACTAAAAAGCTTTGCTTTATAGCTATAACATTTATTTAATTACACATGTGCACACATACATCTTTAAATGATAGAAAAATATGAAAACTTTTAAAATAAAAAAATCTAAACGAGAGATTTTAAAAAAATCATTCTGAACTATACCTCATGTAATGACATTGGGCGATCATTTTTTCTTTTTGAATCAAATCTTCCATATATAGCTGCATACTTTCTGAGTGCATCCATCCGATTTGGATCATTTAGAGCCATCATCATAACACACTGTAAATTTAATTACAGGATTTTTTAAAAAATAATTAATTTTAACAAGTCATGCATAATTTTATTTAAAGAACTAGCTAACTGCTATTTGCCAAATCTAACTTTGGAACATTTAATTTGCTCAGTTACATTTTTTTTGACTTGATGAGAGAGTTCTAGCTTCTACTGATGCTGTCACAAGCAGTAAAAGAATTATGATTTTTCCATTTATATTTTTAAACAAATACATTTTTCTATAATAAATAAAACTTCAGTAAAAGAAAATCTATATTTAAAAAGTTAATGACTAACAGTAATGAAATTATTCAGTTTTGAAAATAAAATATTGAAAAATCAATTAATTTTTGACAAAATTAATTGTCACAAAAAGTTTTTTAAGAAAATCTATTCTCAAAGTCAGCTAAGTTTTAGTGAAAATAAAAGTTAACTAAATTCTTTATTTAACCATAGTTGTAAAACTGTTTGTTGATGATAGCAATTACATTTCAAAACATTGCATATCATTCAAATACTTACACTTATTTCTTTACTTATTTGTTTTTTAGGCATCGACTTGGTTTTTTAAGAAAATCTATTCTCAAAGTCAGCTAAGTTTTAGTGAAAATAAAAGTTAACTAAATTCTTTATTTAACCATAGTTGTAAAACTGTTTGTTGATGATAGCAATTACATTTCAAAACATTGCATATCATTCAAATACTTACACTTATTTCTTTACTTATTTGTTTTTTAGGCATCGACTTGGGTTCAAAAGGAGGCAAGTTTTGAGCTAACATGGCAGCCGCCGTTGCTATGGCAGTGATCTGATGTTCCAGCAGAGCAGGCTGGGGCAGGCCCATCATTCCAGGATAGGATTGATCATCAGGATTGTACTGTACCATGGATGAAAATATACAAATGAATTACAGGTGTGAAAATGAAGGGTGGTGTTTATTTAATTATGGGAAAAATAAAACAAAGTACAAATATTGGAGCGTTCATCAGCAAACATAATATATATAGAATGCTTTAAAAATATTAACAATACATTAAAGAAATCTAAAAAAAAGTATTGAGATGAAACTAATATGGAAAATTTTAGTTGACTGTCACTGAAAATAAAACAATATAGAAAATGAGATAAAGGGGGATTATGGTGAACAATTGGTAAAGATGATTGTTTTGGTCAATGTGTTTGGTCAAGGGAGAATAGGAAAAGAAAGAAGAAAAAGACAAGAGACATACGTTTTTAAAAAAATAAAAAAATATTAATAAGTAATATTTCTATCTACTGTGAACAATGGTCAGCAAATGTTAGCTCCATACCTGATTTAATATCGAGTTAATGATTGCAATTTTGTTTGAAAACCAACAATTTTTATTTTCAGAGGACAAAAACTTTTTAAAATTGTTATCTTTTATGTCCATATTTTCCTGAAATAATTAATAGAAAGTAATCAAAAGACGATTAGGGATAAAGTAAAAGTGATGAGGCGAAAATTTGAGAAGATACACACCAAAACATCCTTCATGATTTCCTTAAAGTCTGTCGGCGGTGAATCTGATGGACTCGGGTGCTCTAGATTGCTGCCATCTGAAGGACTCATTGCCCTTACTCCCCCCTGACAGGTCCATGGTGTCGATGTGGAAATAGCAGATGATTGTGGTGGAGTGACCTTATAATCTTGGAGGCTGTTGGAGCGCTCTACTGAATGGGATGGACTAACGGACTGAGATGTGGAGCCAGCCATGCTCATCACATGTGTTGGATATTTCTTTATAACTGTATTGAGAGATAAGATTTTTAGAAATATAAATTAAGTTTTAATCATTTTTGATTATTAAGAATTTAATTTCCTCAAATAAAATTGAAACATTTTCATACAGCACAAAAAAACCGCAGTCCTTAATTTGTGTCATGCCATCTGCACATAGCACTACTAGAAACATGAAACCTCTGCAGTAGGAAAGGGGCTGAGTTACGGTCTTTAATATTCCATCCAAAACTGTTGTCTTTACCATGGACATTTTTAAAGGAACTAAACCCATATAATGAGTAGAACAAATCATTTTTGTTAGCAGACACAGATGGTTCATTTATAAAATTTATTTTAAGTAAGCCGGGACGTTTTCAATTGGATGAACATAAAAAAAATCAATCAAAGGTAAGCTGTTCACTAAATTTTGCTTGATGTGCTGATTTTTTTTAAACCAAAAAAAGTTATTCAAAAAATTATTTAGCAAAACCACATAACCATTTGGATAAAATTTCACCGATGATGAGGCAGAAAAGCCAGTTCACCAATTTAAATTCACCAATGGAAACTTTAAACTGTACATGTGGTGGGGACAATTAAGCTCAATCTTTCTTCTTCTATATTTCAAGGGCCCACTTCTTAACACATTTACTTTTTAATTTAACTGAAAACCTCTAATTTAAAATGGGAAAATTTCTTTAAAAGAAAACCAAACAATCCAAGTCTAATGTATGTCTTATGCTGATTTCACCTTCAAATGCAGCTGGATTAGCCACCCATTCTTGGAGTGCTTTTTGTAGTCTCCTTACATGAAGTGGTTTGCTGGCCATACCCACCAGGGCCATGATTTCCAAAAATTCATCTTCACCGGCCTCACATAACTGCTGTACATCATCTCCTCCTGTGTTGGCAGCAACAAAATTATCTTAGGTGATACATTCTTACCGTAAAGTAACTGAAACATGTATCTACATACTTGTAGAAGCCTTGGGAAAATCGCTTAAGCACAGATATTGCACCTCCCTTAATAAAAAGAAGACGTGGCTAGCTGCATTTATGTTTACAACCCAGGACAAATTCAGAAGAAAAAACTTTGCTATAAACAGAAATTCAAATTTTAGGATGAGTACACTTTGAATGCATATTTTAAGGAAGCACGAATTACAATATTGGAGTAACAGAAATTGTGCAAAATGAAAATGGTAGGAAAAAATGTAATTTCATTTAGATCCATGGGTTTAAACTTTATTTGACAGTTATTCAATCAAAGACATGGACATGGTAAAGTTTAGTTACCAGTACATTATTTTACATTTTAATGCGCAAATAAAGTTCTCTGAATTGACCTAAACCTAATATTCAACTTCTTCTTCTTCTTATATTTGAGATGCCCACGATCAATTTGTTGATCATTCTGGCTCCTGGTTTAAATTCAGAGTTTGCCTTCTCTTAGACAGGTTGCCGTCCAAGGCTAACGAGTCCCATCCAACCGGGTTGCTTGGGATGGCTTTGGTGGGGATTGAACTCCAGACCACCAGCTATTTCGTTTGAGACAGTTTAGACCGCTCGGCCACCCAGCTACTATACAATCTTTACAATCAAATAAAAAAAAAAAATCTGCTTAGACATCTTTCTTTAATTACAAGAAATAAAAAAAAAAGTGAGGCAGAAAAAAAGTGGAGCTTTTAAATCTTATGAAGGTAAAGGGGAGGTAATAAAATTGAACCCTTAAGTTACTCACCTTGTGTAATGAAAGTCTCAAAATACTGCAGGAGATTGGCTCGCTGCAGAACACGATAGAGTTGAAGCTCTGAGCTGTTAGCTGGTTGAACTGTTGCCATGTGTTCAGAATTTTAGTATGTAAAACTACTGTTGCGTTGTTTTGCAGAAAATCTATTGGATAAATTAAGTAAAATTTAATGCATGATTTTAACAACGAAATATTGTACAATTGAATTTATTCCTAAATTTAGTAATGGATGCAAGCTCATAAATCATTTCTTTTAGATTATGGTATATTTATATAAAATACAATGGAAAACACCACTCCCAAACAAAAGAAAATAAAATATCTTATAGGATTGGTAAGTAATATATAGGGAAAATGATTTAGTGTAGGCCCCCACTTCAGACTCGGCGGCCGTTTTTCTTATAGAGCAGTGGGGGAATCCTCACGGTAACATACTTTGTTAATAACTGATGTGACTAACACTTTTTACGCTGCCCGGTACACTCCACCCTGACCACTTTCACCCGTCTCACACTTGATATCATCATGAGAGATACGTGATTTTTTATTTTTTTTTTAACTGTCTCACCCCAGTCATGATGATGCGAGATACCGGTATTTGTGATGTTAAACAGTCTCACCCTAGAATATGATGATATGAGATATTTGTAATGATGTTAAAGTTAAATTGTCTCGCTCTAGAAATTTTTGCCGAGGGATGTGTAAGTGCTGTTAAAGTTTCTAACGTTAGACATGATTGTTGTATGAGTGCCGTTAAACAGTCTCACCCTTCATTGACATGATTACATAAGGGATGTGTGTGATGCAAAACTGGAGTATGTATTTCACTTGTTTCTTCTCAGTGGGTTACAAACGATAACATTGCGTCAGGCTCAGTAGTGAAAAATTATCATTTTCAAAAAAATATTATTATTTTTTTTAAGTAATAATTTTATTAGGATCCTCAGAAACGAAATCCGCAGTTCCCTACCACCGCACCGCCAATCACAATCGATTCCAAGGGTTAATATTGATGATCTACTAAATGAGCTTTGTTATAAATCAAAATCAATACACTTTTTTTTTTGAATAGCATTGAGAAACTTAAATATTTTTTTCTCTATTAACTATGATGATGGTGGCCATATTCAACACGAAGTAAGGATACATCCGAGACTCGAAAAAAAAAGGGGGGGGGGGGGAATGTTTAATGATTAATCGCAATCATTGTTTACTTTTTGGCATTCACGGCACGTAAAATAATAGCGGGCGGGCATGTATCTTATGGCAGGGGTTCTCAACCACGGGCGCCCGCAACTCTGGGGGGTGAGGGGAGGAGGTGTCATTGAGTGCGAGAAAAGTCTCAGAAAGTCACGTTTATTCCCATTTTTATTCGAATTTTCGTTTTGATCGTTCGGGAGGTCAAAGAAATATGTTTTGAAATCGAAATGGGGTTGTGGCTCAGCCAAAAAAAAAAAAAGGTTAAGAACCACTGCGTTACGGGGACGATGTTATCCCTGATAATGATGTCAAAAATGATTTTAAAAAATTTACGGATTACTAATGTGAAGTATTACATTTATGAGTTTGAATGGTTTGATTAACGTTAAAGTTGACCCCTCCCCACTCCTCTTAAACACCCGCCACCTATAGCCCCACCCTCTACCTTTCTGACCCTCGCCATCTACCCCCATATTCTTTCCTCTTTATCCTATTAGACTCCTCCCTTCCCCGGTGTCTATAACTATTCCTGACGGCCAACACACCCCTCCCATATTCTTTCCTCTTTATCCCAATAGACTCCTCCCTCCCCCAGTGCCTATAACTACCCCTGACGACCAACATAACCCTCCTTCCGCAACAAAAACCACCCCCCCCCAAAAAAAAACAACCCACGCACCACCTCTCCTAACACAAAACCCGTCCGACCCCCCACCCCCACTACGCCCCCCTCCATTTCTTTCCTCTTTATCCCAATAGACTCCTCCCTCCCCCAGTGCCTATAACTACCCCTGACGACCAACATAACCCTCCTTCCGCAACAAAAACCCCCCCCCCCCAAAAAAAAACAACCCACGCACCACCTCTCCTAACACAAAACCCGTCCGACCCCCCACCCCCACTACGCCCCCCTCCATCTCCCACCCCTCCCTCAAACCCCACTCCCCTCTCCGTCTCCTACATGACGAACAACGGTCTTGCTATTCTTGGTTGTACGCTCCCCCTCCCCCCACACTTTTTTTCTCCCCCCTGAAACCATACTTTCCTAGATCAGTGGTTCTCAGCCTTCCTAATGCCGCGACCTTTTAATACGGTTCCTCATGTTGTGGTGACCCCCAACCATAAAATTATCGTCCTTGCTTCTTCATAAAGATGTGCTTTTCGATGGTCTTAGGCGACACCTTTGAAAGGGTCGTTCGACCCCCCCTTCCCCCAATGTGGTCGCCACCCACAGGTTGAGAACCGCTGGCCTAGATTCTTCCCCTTTCCCACCCCTTCACATTGGCCTGCTTGATAGCCATTTAATGTACTTACTAAATGCGTTTATTTATTTATTTTTTAAATTATATTCCGCTTAGTACCTTTTAATTTTAACATATCCAAGGGACGCTACACAACAATTTTATTATCACCGGGTAGTCCCGCGTACCCGGTACACTTGTTATGGGTGTTTCATTATTTCAATCCAAAATTCCATCTAACTCAAAGTTCATATTCACCCTTTGTCATCTAACTCCATTAACTCCCCTTCTTCGTCCCCACATTACTGACCATTCTCATTTTTCTCCCTCTCACCACGACCATATACTAATATTATAATTTATATGATTAATATCATGAACATCCAATAAAGGCTAATATAAATATAATGTAAATATTGAACACACAAAATATAATGTATAATCTATGACTGCTATGTCATGACGTTGAAAATGCATGTGTCGATGTCAGGTGACATTATTGTATAACTTAATATAATAAATAGAAGCGTAACGTCTTTACCTTTCTAAATGCCAAAATCATAACTTATCCCGCCAAAACATACTCATTTTATTAACGAAGTGGCTATAGGCCTGTCTAGTTAAAAGTAATAAGTAGTAGGGTCTATGACTATGAGTATGATTAGAAATTAGATTTAAATATACTATCCGGTACCATTGCGCTTTTTTTTTTTTAAATATATTAATTAAATCGCAAATGTATATTTAATCCAAAAACTCGACACCAATAGACAACGTACTATTTTATTTTTTTTGTTGTTGTTGTTTTTATTACAGTGGGTTGGGCTATTCAACCGATCCTGATACTTGGCTCCTTTCCAATAGCTGATAACCTATGACCTTTAGCTCTCCCCGTCGGCGGGTTACGCCCCCCTCGGTTTGCGCATGCGAACTTGACGGTGGGGCGGAGGACCCGAATGCCGTGAGGGTAGGCCAGTGTTGTAGCAAAGGATATGCCCACTTAGTAGTCCAGGAAAATAGAAAACTAAGCACATTTAAAACGAATCAACTGTTGGGATTAAAATGTAAGGCCTAGTTAAGTCTACTACATATAAAAACAAACAAAAAAACGGACAGGCAATCAACACTGATTACAAATAAACCAATTTAAAAACTCAAGTCTAGTGCTAAGCGCATTCATACTGATACTGATACTAATATTATACTGGTTTTTCTGGTTAGATTTTATTTTTATTTTATTTTTTTTTGCTATATATCTGATTATGAACACGTACTCTGCAATATATTGTAATTTTGTTCAATTTATTAGTTAGTTAAAGGATTAAAATAGAGAAGGAAAACAAAAAGGGGGTGGGGCGTCATTCCTTGACCTTATTTGAAAAAAAAGCCATGACATAGCGAATGTCCTTTCTTCTACCTGACCTACCAATATCAAATTTTGCCATAATTTTTAAATTACATTAACGTTGTATGAAAAAAAATTGTATGCCATAAAGTACGTTTCATTTGCATTTAATAAATAATACGCGGCATATTTTCTGTATTTTGTAGCGTACACGAATGCTCCGACAATCAAGTAAATATAAAGATAAAGTAGGGACGATTTTAAATGATCTTAGTCTAAGTTAATTAGCATATAGGTCATAATTAACTTATTAATAAAAAAAAATTGACATGGTCCCTAAAATTATTAATGATACTTAACACAAGAATATAGGCCTATCGTGTAGTTAAAGTATTCACTTCTTAAAGGGCCATTCCTTTAATTAAGCCGGCATACAAATGTACTACAACATAGTGACCTTGACATAATTATTTTCTCTCTTAATGTCTTTATTAATTAATTAAATAGTTTTATTAAATTATTTCTTATTTTTAATAAATTGAAGGAAACAGTTTTTTTAAAGATATATATTATAATATATATATATATATATTACTGACTAATTGCCACATGTCACATGAAATACTTTTTTAGAAAAAGAGTTCTGAAAATGTTAAATAAGCATCAGATCAAATTAAATATGGTTTCACGTGTCACATATGTGACAAATAATTGACTACTGAAATAAGGAGCCTAGAGCAGTGGTTCTCAACCTTTCTAATGCCGCGACCCTTAAATACAGCTCCTCATGTTGTGGCGACTCCCAACCACTTTATTATTTTCGCTGATGCTTTATAACTGTAGAGCATATGTGTTTTCAGATGGTATTAGGCGACCCCCGTGAAAGGGTCGTGACCCACAGGTTGAGAATTGAGAACCGCTTCCCTAGAGGAATCGAGGTTCATGTGCAACTTTAACAACAGCTGCAAAACAATTGAGCAGGGTTTCTTTCAGCTATATCTCCGGGGGGGGGGGGCAGGAACCCCCCCCCCCCCCGGGAACCCACAGCCCCCCCCCGGGAAAAAAAATTCCCAAAAAAAAACAAAATGCCCCCCCCCCCCCCCCCCATTGCCCCTGCCCCCCCCCCCTCGGGGGGGGGGGGATTTCTGAAATAATCACTGCAGTTGAGTAAATATCAGGAGTGGGGGTGTTATGGAGTAAGGGCGTCATCAGCAGTGGGGGTGTAAATGGATTAATAGTGGGCGTCCAAGCCTTACTGTAATATAGCACTAACAGTAAGTAGACATGAAGTATTGCTCCTGGCAACGTACGCGTTCTCGACCAATTAAATGTTGTGAATGTACTGACTGGTGGTGACATATTAAGTATTCACAACAACAACAAAATACATACCACACGTAAACAAATGATACTCATAATCACCATCCTCAGTCATGCACAATCAAAAGAACATTAAATAACTGAAGTGCACACGCCCGAGTCAAGCATTATTGCACTGGTAACTTTATTAGACCTACATATCTTATATTATATCGGGGCAGGTAGCCAATATAGTATAGGCTACATTTCATTTTAAATTATTAAAAGTATCAGGTATTCATTTTGAGAGTGAACTTCCCTTAGCGCCCTCGCTTACAACTAAACAAGGCGTGGCGAGTCAATTGTTTTTTTAATGGTGTCGTAACATCAACAATTAATTGTAGGTCACTAACTTTGTGTTATTTCTACTCACAGTACATACTCATACTGTTACTGAATAGTCTTTTGTCCACTATACAAGTCTACTCCATTCATTGGAAACTGAAATATAACTTATACTATATATTATATAGTTGGGCATAGTCCTACATATTGGCATAAGTCATAGATTAACATAGGCCCTATCGTATACTTGTATATTATTTATACTATACCGGTATTTAAACAATACAAAAGGGTTCATTTAGGTCTACTTTCGTTGTTTTAGTTTTAGATTAAATCTAATTGTAGACTAGTTACTTACTGAGCCACTTCCTTAAGAGTTCTTAGTAAGTCTTATTACACTTACACGATGAAAACTTTATTTTATAGTTTAAGTCTACACTAACTGTTAGAGATAGGGTATTCTGGCTATAGTATAGTACCCGTCTTATACGCCTAGGCAAATCTATTATTACAATAATCACTAGACGAATTGATCATCACATAATGACACTTACCTACTATAAAACCGCGACCATTTATCTAATCACTGGTGTCGTGCAGTTGTAACTAAAACATACTAGTACTATACTTGTGTGCTCAACCACCGACTTGTCCTTACATCGCCCCAGCTCAGTGATTGTTTTGGGGCTAGGCCACACAGCCCCGACCCTCGTCTGTCGGCAGGCTACACAGCGAAAACTAGGGTAAGCTACGTTATGGTGGGGCTACACAGAAGTGAAGAGTGGGAGTGGGCAGGCACATGAGCGGATGGGGTAAAGCAGCAGACGTGGGGGGGGAGGGGCTTGGTGCGGGAGGGGGGGTTCAGGGGTCGTTTGAGGGAGAGGGAGCTTCCGGGGTGGATTCGCCATATAAGGGCCCTTAGCCATACGTCAGCAAACCGTACTATCACGATTGGGCCCATTCCCCCCTCGTGAATGCTGTTGAGGGGTGGCGCGAGGGGGGGGGG